GCCTCATATTATACCACATAAAATAATAATAATAATAATACCGAATGGTTGTTTAATTTAAATGAGTAAGTGGGTACATTTTTAATTTAACAAATTTTAAAACTCTTATTACAGACAAAATACCGCCAAAGAATTTAGTGGAAAGGTTTAATTGATAAGGTAAAACTTGGGGCAAACCAGTTTTATTTGTTATAGAGGACAATTACCAAAAATATCAAGTAAACTTATTTGTAAATATATATTTTAATTTTAAATATTTTCTATTTCTTTATTTATTTAAATATTATAATATATGGATATTATTTATTACCTAATAAACAGTTTTTAAAATAAAATGTTTATGTTTTACTTATGCAGGTCTTTATTACAACACATTGCTTTGTATTTTTTCTTGTAAATTTATTAATGGCTTAGTATTACATTTCACGATAATATATTAATTAATGTAATGGATAAGTAAAGTATTTATTATGGTGGATTAAATGTGGTTTGTTTATATTTATTAGGTCGGATATTCCACGATAATCGAAATTTTTTTATCCCGACCATCAGAAATTGTATTGTGACGGTAGGGATAACAATTTCTGATTATCGTGGAGTATCCTTTTCTAATAAATACGAGGTGTGTTCAGAAAATCGGAAATTTTCGTTTTTTGAAACAAATATTTATTTATTCGTCTACATTAATAGTCCCCATTGGGTATTATGCACATGTGCCAGCTCTTCTTCCAATACTCGAAACACTTCTAAAACTCGATCTTTGGGATAGCCTTTAGTTCTTTCAGCGATGCGCTTTTAATGTCATCTATGCTTGCAAAACGACGGCCCTTTAAGGTTCTCTTTATTTTTGGGAATAGGAAAAAGTCAGACAGAGGCATGTCTGGCGAATATGGAGGCTGGAGCATCATTACAGTATTGTTTTTGGCCAAAAATTTTGTTCAAAATTTAACAATTTTAGAACAAATTTTGCTGCCACCCGTTTCATACCCAAAACATTCGAAAAAATTTCATGGGATTATACGATATACCAACATCATCAGCGACTTCTCTAATGGCTTATAACCATTTCTTCCACTTTTTCCATGTTTTTATCGGTTGTTAATGTGCTTGTACCACTTTTAAACTCTTGTTTTACTTATAGCAGACTCACTATAGGCCTTTGTTAACATTTCACAGAATTTATTTCATTTTTTAAGCAAAATTGGATAAAAATTCTTTGATCCATTTCTTTCAAACGAACGAAAATCGCCGAGCTCATAAAACACGTCTAACCTTAGCGGCTGCCAAAGACAAAGTAAACAATAAAAACAGCTAAAGTTTTTATCATACTTCGGGGGCATGTATACCAACATAATAAAGAAAATTTTATGACAACCTGACACTCTGAACCCGCGAAATTTAACAATTCCCGTTATTTTCTGAACACACCTCGTATATACCTACCATATTTAATCCACCATAATAAATACTTCACTTATCCATTAAAAATTATTTAAATAACCACTATAGAATCTTTAACACCCCATATCGGAAACTTTAGCTTGCCACATTTGTACCTTTAATCTGCCATATCAGAACCTTTAGCGGCCATATCAAAAAATGGAATGGTTATTGTGCCTTTATTGACTGCCGTTACATGCCCCTTAAAGGTGAACGCGACATAATATGTAGAGTTATAGGTATAGACGGAGTTAGACACCCAAATTTGGGGGTGCGGGAGTCCGGACCCAAATCTTTTGGATTATTCTGTGATAATACAAATTAAATTACTATTTTCAGAAATCTTTAGTCATCTATTTAGTAAAAATTAAATATTATAAATTTTAAAGTACATATTTATTTATTTTATTTAAAATAAATAATAAAACACAATAAATAGGATGGATACATTAATTCTCAGTACCAATGAAGGTATAAAAAGGTTTAGGAAATAAGCAGATTTTAAAATGATAAGAACCAAAGACCGGACTTTAGGCCCTTAAAAATTGTAAATTAGGACACATAAATAGGCAATACAAACCTACATTTTAGGCCGTTTTAGGCTGAAAGTGTCTAAAATAGGCCTCAACCGCCTAAAATAGGCGATATGAAATAAAAACAACACGATTAAACATAACATTTATTCAGGTCCTATCAATAAAAATAAAACAAAAAATACATATGTATCTCTTAATATAGGTAAAATTGCCCGTAAATAAAGAAAAGGGAAACCTTACTGTTAAAAAGTCTGAAATTACCACATACGTAATCCATATATAGAAATTACAGTAAAACCTATGAAAACAAAGTAAATAATAATTTTTAACTATTATTTTACAAACTTAATATTATCCATAATTATTTATAATAAATATTTAGATAGCAAAAACACAATTACTTTTTTATTAGGTTTTCACTAGTTTTGTAATTTGTGGTCCTCGTACTCGCCAAGGGCGTCTAGGCGAAATAAGAGCATGAAAGCAGGGTCTAATTAGGAATAATTTACTTTTCTGCAATGAAAAATATATTTTTTACTGAGCCTATTTTAGGCTCATAAAAATGTCCTTTCAGGACAATAAATCAATATTTCGCCATTTTAGGCTTTTAGGCAAAAACAAACGGGTGTCAAACGGTTTATTTTTTTAAGTTTAGGATTAATTTCAAGGTCCCAAACAAATGCCTAAAATAGAAACAAAAAGGCATTTTGCCTAAAATCCGGTCCTTGATAATAACATTTTCCCATTCTAAAAGATCTTTCACAAGGTGCTAAGCATATTGGAAATCAAAGTGCAATTTAAAAAATTTTGTATTAATTTTCATAAGTTAATATTGAATGTTTTATGATGTTCTGACGACCATTTCAGCTTTCAAAATATACTGCTGTATTTTAAATTTGGTAGCATAATGATTAATGTAGCGCAAAATCATTTAATAAAATTGTCGATAGCATTGGTCATTTATTGACTTTCTAAGGAAAATCTTTCTTTTAAATGTCAAATCATTGCGTCTAGTATACAGGGTGTTATGTAATTAATGTTATATATTAAAATGGGTTGTTCCTTAGGGTCCATAAAGAAGCACCTGAAACTTTTTTTTTCTAAATTTCAGTCTAAAAATAATTTATAATAACCTTTATCCTACCAAAAAGTACGCCACTGATGGACTAGGAACTTTAGGTTAATCTGGTGGATTTATTATGTTATGGTTCGTAACAACAGGAATGCGTTCATAAAGAACGCTCTGGGTAAACTCCAGCACACAAGGTCGTTCATAAACGGATTTTATGCGTTGTGCACATTTTGTGTAACCGTTCATAAAATACCTAGTTCTACACTCGGAGTGTTCGAAAATTACCGCTTCTACAACACCGGCGTTTTTCACACGACTTCAGTGTTGCCACTTGTAACATAATTATCGAATTGTAACATACATTTTTTTAAAAACAAAGCTTGAAAATTATATGTAACATAATCGATAATTGTAACATAATTTTTAATCCAAGTATCTGGACAAAATTAACTTAATTCTATCCAGATTAATTAATTTAATTAAGCATAAAGCCTGATTTATAGATTTCCTTCCTTCCTGCCGTAAAAGATCAACAATACCGTAGTACTGTTTATAGATTCCCGTACGGTATTTATAGTTCTAAAGGTAACGGTAGAGGCAGCGGTAGCGGTAGCCAAGTTGGGCATTAAATATTATATGAAACAATTTATAGTTGTCAGATAGTTTTGAATACGTAGTGGTTTCTTTAACTTTCTACTCCGAGTAACCATTAACATAACTTCATCGGTATCGCTACTACTTTCGTCGTCTGCATCAGAAAAAGCAATTGGAATTTCAAATAATGTTTGGACGCCCAAACTGGAACAAAATATAGCTGCTTTCATGAGGTTAACTTTGACGTCAAAAACGCAAATTGTGACAATCGAAATGTCAGGCGTTCAAAAACCACCCAGCACCCTAGGAACACTCCGCGCAAAACTCACATTACACACGAGATAAACACCCTATAATCAGATTTCCTTTATGAACGCACCCCAGTGTTTCCAAAATCTCTCAAAAAAGTTGACAAACATTGTTTAAATTTAGCTTAATTGCAAAAATGACAAAATTAACAATGCAAATTGTCAATTTGGCGTTTTTATTAATTGTTGGTTATTTCATTTTTGTACTGAAGGTAAATTCAAACAAAATCTGCCAACTTTTATGACAGAATCTAGTGCATTTCTTTTAAATTTTAGGTTATGTTTGTAAATATCTTAACTAAGGGAAGTGCTTTTGGATTTATTTACACAAATTAAATGTGAACTGGTCCCAATTTCATCTGAGTAAACCGAGAAAAAAACTGATGAAAAAATTAATTTTGTGGTTATGGCTAATAGCTGGATCAGTAAATAAATACAGAAGGGCATTAGAGCTTTAAGGGCATAAAACTTTTGTATTTATTGAGTTTTTATTTATTTTTTGCAAGAAAAATTTTTAGTAACAATTTTTTACATCTGGCAACGCATAGCTACTTTGTTGGTTGGTATCTATGTACTCACAAAATACAGGTGTGCAGAGATAAACAAGTGTGTAACCAGTGGCGTATCACAAAAAATATAAAAAACTTCTAATGCATATTTTTTCTTTATCTTTGGAAAAATGTTTTTTTAAATATTTTTCCTTTATTCCTTATGTCAAAAGGTATTCAGTATTTTAATATATAACATTAATTACATAACACCCTGTATTATAAAAGATTTTATTTTGAAAGTATTCTTGGACATTTTAGTTTTCTCCTTGGTTTCAGAATAATAATAAGATAGAAAAAAGGAAAAATAATTTATAAAATGTTGGGGGTGCTAATTTTATTTTAGAGGGTGCTTAGCCCCCCAAGCCCCCTCTTAACTCCGCCCATGGTTTATTAAAGGCATGTTTATAAAGGACCATTAACAAACTTTTAAGGTTGTGTTTGCTGGAACAACTTTAACACTTTTTGGAAAATAAAAACATAAAAAAATGTAAAAACTCACCTTCATGCTGGGAAAACCGATGCCGACGACGAAGTTGGCGATCCAGTTGACAAGCACGGCGATGGACATGGCGGCAGGGCGCGGCCCTTGCGAGAACAGCTCGGCAGTGATCATCCACGGGATCGATCCCGGTCCCATGGCGAAGAACTTGACGAAAAAGAGCGTCGACACCACGGACAGGTAGGACATCCAGTCGATCATTTCCTGCACGTAGCCAAAAAACTCCTATCAGGCGAGTAGTAAGGGAGTTCTTTCCCGACACAGGAGGAGTGACCCCAAATGTTTTTGGGAGAGCAAAATAAAAACTTCGATTTTTTTAAGAATCGAATGGAAGCTGGGCTACTTGGAGTTGGGGTTATGGTATTTTGCAAAAGTATTACACAGTCCTAACAATAACTATTTCCACACACGGAGAGAAATGTATAGTAAATTTTAGATATTAAAAAAATATAGTAAAATTTACTTTAACAAATTTTTAGGGTAACAATATTATATATTCGTCAATACAATATTAAGATTGTAATACGAAATACTATTTTTTATTATACAATTTTACTAAATCATAAATGTATAATATATATTTTAATTTTTAATATGTTCGTATAGTAAATTGATTTTACCATCTACAAATAGTAATATTTACTATATGATTTAATCTAATATAATATATTACACATTAATAAAAAATATAGTAAAAATAAAGATACTTTTATGTGTAAGGTAAATAAACTATATTTTTCAATATAATATACAATATAGTAACTCATGACATTTTAAACATTCAATTTTCTTAGTTTCTTTAATAAACTTTCTTGACCCATTACTGGTAATACTTATAAAAAAGAATTGAACCTACTTGGTTGCATAGTATGTACCGATTGCGGCAAAGGCCACGTCGCGACGCGTCGTTAGACGGTGTGGATCACGTGATGTTCTTACATCTCGCCTCTGTTGGCTTACCAACCATGTTATATAAGCTCAGGTATTTCTTTGTTTTGGGTGTGTTCCACTACTACAAGTTGCTCGACAGTGTCGTGTCGACACTGATGATACCCAACATAGGTCAAAACACCTGTCTGTCGGTATTTGAAGTTGATGGAACGCACTCAAAACAAAAAACTTTGGCGAGGTGTAGGTTCAATTCTTTCTCATAACATTTTTGTATATTAAAAAGTACAATAAATATGTTACAATTTTTAATTGTTAACATATAAAAATATTCGATTTTAAAATATTTTATATTTAAAATGGCAACACAATATTTTAAAATTTACTATACTTATTAGTAATGGTAAAAATCTAATTATAATAAGAATTAAAAACAAAATTGGTTGAGAATAATAATATTTTACCTTAAGGTTTAACATACATGGATATTTAAAAATTACTAAATATGCATAGTATCTGGCAATATACAAGATAGTTGTCCCAAATAGTAATATAAATTATAGTAAAGGGTATTATATATATGGTAATCAGCATTATACTTTTCTCTCCGTGCAAAATAAGTTTCTTTATTTGCAATATTTACTTATAAAACTGAAAAACATTGCTTTGGTACATTAATTAAAACAAAGATTTGCAAAATTCAAACGCTTGTTATCGGCAACCAATAATACATTTGCAGGAATGATCGTAAGGCATGCGATGTGTAGACGAGTGTACATCAAACCTTGCGTGCACTCGTGCCATAATGGTGTATGGATTGTGGTGTATGGGTTTAGAACCAAAAAAATACACCAACAAATTTCACTTAGATAAAAAAGCTATCAAGTCAACAAGTTATACTTTAAATGGTTAAAACAACAATAAAAGAACCAAAATTATGCTCAAATTATACAGTTAAACAAATTTCATGTTTGTTATGTAGGTTGCCTAAGCCAAAGTCAAGTTTTAATTTACATTTTAATGTTTAGGGAGTAAGTAAGTATACTTACTTACTTACTATACACTCACAGGCAAAATAATCGATTCACACAAATTTTCGATGAATTTCAATCGAAAATAACTTTTTTATTTGATGTCGGATTTAAACGAATATTAAAGAATATTGTAGATAAATTAATGAACAATCGCTCACATTTTAAAAAAATTACTAAAAAATAAACGTACATTTATAATATAAAGGTTTAAACCAAAAGATATTTTTTACCATAAGTTTAAGACACTCTGTAGAGTGGCAAAACCGTATATTGTTTTATTTATCAAGTCACATCTATTCTTAACAGTTTTGTTTTTGGTTCACCTCGATATATTTATTTTTGTGAAAAATATGGATTTTTTTAAAAAACATTGCAATTTTCAATATTTTTCTGTATGAAGAACTAAGGTTGCTATGGTCCATCCATAGGCTATGGAGAATGACAGTGACAGTTTTGTTGAATCATCCCATACTCGGACATGTCATACACGGCTTTCAAAAGCTATCAAATTGTTTTTTGCAAATTAATGTTTAAATGTTGAGGTGTCTTCTTACTTTTAAAAATGGATATGTCTCCGACTGATGTTGCCAGAGCCATTAATTTAATCCAAGATGGACGGTCACAGTATTACGTAGAAAGTGTTTTAAACGTCACAAGAAGTAAAGTACAAAGGGCAACATCAGTCGAAGACATTTTTAAAAGTAAGAAGACACCTCAAAATTAACACATTAATTTACAAAAAACAATTTGATAGCTTTTTAAAGCTGTATATGACATGTCCAAGTATGGGATGATTCAACAAAACTGTCACTGTCATCCTCCATAGGCTATGGATGGACCATAGCAATCTTAGTTCTTCATACAGGAAAAATATTGGAAATTGCAATGTTTTTTAAAAAAATCCATATTTTACAAAAAAATAAATATATCGAGGTGAACCAAAAACAAAACTGTTAAAAATAGATGTGACTTGATAATTAAAACCTAATTTAGAACAATATACGGTTTTGACACTCTACAGAGTGTCTGAAACTTATGGTAAAAAACATATTTTTGTTTAAACCTGTATATTATAAACATACGTGTATTTTTTTAGTAATTTTTAAAATGTGAGCGATTCTCCATTAATGTATCTACAATATTCTTTAATATTTGTTTAAATCCGAAATCAAATAAAAAAGTTATTTGCGATTGAAATTCATTGAAAATTTGTGTGGATCGATTATAATAAATAATTATTTTGCCTGTGAGTGTATAATAAAAATTGTTACTTTGGTTTGGTTTTGTTGATAAAAGTCGTGTTGTAATGTAAATGACTGTAAATTGTTGGGGTATTTCGAAGGTCCTTTTACAAGGATCTAGCAAAAAGGTATTTACAGCGTCCCTCCTCCACCTTGTCAGGAAAGTCGAACACACAGGGAGGGTGAGGTTATAAAAAGCAGAAGGAATGTGATAGGAAAGTCAACAAAATTTATTTACTCTTTAGAGTGTCTCCGAATAATATTTGCTTAAAAACACATTAAATAATGTGTAATAATCAAATATAAAGTTTTTAAAATTTTATGACCTGTAAGGTTTGTTTGGTTAGTAATTCGCGTTCCTATGATTTATATTTTTCAAACGAAAAAATAAAAAAGTATCGCGTGTATATATTTTTAAGGTAGAACGAATTCGCGAAACTAGTGGTTAGAAAAATGAAATCTTGAAAAAATAATTACAATTAACAAAAATTATGCAGTAATTTAAAACAAATATTTTTAAGTTGAAAGAATACAAAAATTGTTTAAAATTTATTCCATTCTAAGAAATACAAATTGAATAAACAATATTTTAATTTAAAAATATAACGTTGAAATTTTTCTAATTTCCTAAAAAGTATGAATATTGATTTGTTAATTTTAACATAAATTGTATACAGGCTGTCCCACGTTTTTGTATCAGCAAATGTGGATCTGAAGAAAATACATTACACAACTCGACATATCGAAAACTTTTGGCTCTCCTTTATTTTATGATTTTTTAAGAAAAAAGTTTGTTTTGTAAATATAGACTTTTGAGTTTTCAAAGAAACGGTAAAACATTTTTGTTTATTCAAAGGTTTAAAAATTAGACGTTTTATTGATATCAAAAAGTGTCCATCTGTTAATTATAAAATTATTATGTAGGTACAGGGTGATCCCCTATAATGTCGCCCCCCTTAACTTTTTTATTTTAAGTGTGGTTATATAGGTACTGAAAAATATTTTTTTTCTACGTATAAAGAAAAATTGAAAATTGATCAATATACAGGGAAAACCAAAAAGTTTATATTTTTTCAATGGATCACCCTATATATATATATATATATATATATATATATATATATATATATATATATATATATATATATGAATTTATTTTTCGATTCCTTGTAAAATTCTTAGCATAATTCATATAACAAACCATATACCTAAACTCAACCGTTTCTGAAATATTCGCATTCGAAATGTTATCATTAAATGTTTTTTTAAACTGTTAGAAATCAAGAAGCCTCAGTATACCAAAATTTTTATTTAAAATAAATTACTATAGTCACATTATGTCAATATGTCTTGTTAAATAAGTAAAAATGTGGTACTCAGACAGAGAAACACAAACTTTTTCAAATTATTACCTTAAAATAATTTAAATATTTCAGAAACGGTTGAATTTAGGTATATGGTATGTTATATGAAATATGCTTAGAATTTTACAAGGAATCGAAAAATAAATACATACTGGTGATCCATTAAAAAAATAAACTTTTTGTTTTTCCCTGTATAGTGATCAATTTTCCAATTTTCTTTATACGTAGAAAAAAAGTATTTTTTAGTACCTACATAACCACACTTTTAAATTTTTTGGGAGACTTAAAATAAAAAAGGGGGGCGACATTATAGGGGATTACCCTGTTGGTACACATTTATAAGTTTCTAGTTATAGGAAATTTTTAAATTTTGTTTGTATTTTATCCTTTCTTCAAATCGTTAAATAGTCATGGATTGTAGCATGCTTCTGAAAGTCCATATGCTACATGCTCATTTAGATAAATTAAAAAAAACAACATAGTAGCGTTCTAATCATAAATATTAATATTATTATTATAATAAAAATATGTTATGAGACTATATTTGGATTTTAAGTACCATAACAGAAAGAGTAAGTAAATGGGTTCAATTTTCAACTTTTGTCAACTATTTTGTTTTATAATAGTTGAAGTTAATAACAAACACAAATATATTTGTATTGTTATGTTATTATAAATAAAAATTAAAATCATATTTCAACAAAACATTCTTCTGGATATTTTTCAGTTTTCAAATTAATACCTACATATTTATTATGTATGCATTTATAATAGGTAGGTAGTATGTTTTGCAAGCTATGCAGAATAACTGTTACTTATGAAATAATCTTGTCAAATACCATTCAGGCATCTAATTTTTCCTGTGAAAAAAAAATCGAAAAAATACAATGCTAAGTAATATTTTTTAACAAAATGCATTCGTGCTGGTGCAAAAATCCTCGTCTTCTTGTTAAAATATAATAATAATAATAATAATAATAATAATAATAATTTATTTATTGCCCAACAGTTTAAACCATTACAGGACATTTAAATAGGATACATGCGTACTATATAGTATTCAAATTTTAAAAAAATATATAGATAAACCTAAACAACAGATTATGTGTGCAACATTTAAAGATGCTAATTAACATATTTAATTATATGGCTAAGCGTATTAAAGTTTACATCACAAGATTCACAGAATTTATTAAAGTTACTGCACATCACAAATAATGGCGACTTAAGTCCCAAATTAGTTCTATTAAAGCTTAGAAGAAAAGTAATTTTATTTCTGCTAGTCAATCTTGGCACCGAAAAGTTAATCTGAGAAAGCAAATCACTACAACTAATTTGAGAATTAAGCAACCTAAACAAAAATGAAATTGATGCAATAACCCTTCTCTTTTCTAGAGATTTAAATTCAAATGTCGATAGTAGCAAATCATGGTCAAATCCCTGAGTTGGATATTCATTATATATTCTAAGATGTAAGAGCTTTAAAAATTTGCGTTGTACAGTTTCAATGCTTGTTATATGGACTAGATAGATTGGATACCAGATTATGGAAGCATATTCCATCTTTGACCTTATTAATGCATATTACTTAGCAACGTGTTTTTTCGATTTTGTTCGGAAAAATTAGATGCCCTTATGATATTATTAGAGCCAATTATATTTGATATTTTATCTGACATCTGTCAAATAGTTTTAACCTCACTTTTTTCCAAATTTAACTTAACTGCTATTTTTCCCACTAAGGAAAAGTAAAATTTCGCCCTCTGAAATAAAATGGGTGTTGAATAAAGAAGTTTTTTCTGTCACTAATTTTAATGATGAGGTAGTCTAATCGTAATTAAACTTTTTTTTTGTATTTCGCTGGTCGAACTTGATATTAAATATTTAAAGCTATACATAGGGATGCTTTATTTTGACTTTATATACCTACCCATTTAAAGGCAAAATTTTAATAATTAATATTTTTTTACTACAAATTTTAAAACTTAATATATGCAACCAAGTTCTGCTACTAAAACCTATGACACCCTGTATAACATAACATTTATTTTATCATAATTATTATTATTAAACTTTTATTTTATTATTTACGTAAATAGTACTTTTATATTATATATAGATACCTTGCAAATTCTATTAGATTTTTAATTTTGCATTTTAAACGCATATTAATTGGTTGATCAAAAATCCCTTTGACGACTAACCGTCGGTATTTAAAACACAAAAGTACAACGCTGGAAAAAACCCGTAATTAGCATTTGATTAAAAAGTTGCGCGTAAACGGGCCAAATTAAAATAAACTAGACGAGAGAGTATTCAAACGAGTAGGCCAATTGCGGTGGGATAGTGCAAATAAAAAGCAAACATGCAGGGGGCACATAGTTGTATACAAACAAAACGCACTGAATTCTCGAATCCGCACACGTTTGTCGGCAACCAATCGCACTCGGTGATTCATTCATTCAATTAGCGGATTCGAAAATGCAGCCGCACACACACCCGGCATTTTGATATCGATGCAAATTTTATTTATGTTCAATTGGTTACGTTTTTAGTAAATTTTTCAGCCGTAAGTACGGTCACTAAAAATTGTTTATTTTGATCATTTACAGCATCGATAATGAATCATTGTCAGCAATTTTTATCTTTGAAAACCTATTAGTTATTTGATAGTTTTTTTTTAATAATTTCTAATTTCTCTTGGTATTTAACATTTTACGCATCAAAATGTTTTTAAAGAATCATAATAAAATAAAATGATCATTGTTTATCGTAAATTATAATTTTTAATAAAAAAACAATTTCTTTAATTAAACTTTTTTAAGAACCTTTAAAAATATTTTTAAATCTTAAAATGAAAAAACCGTGAAATATTTTTAATAACTTAAAAAAGACCATAAATAACTTATTGCTAATAAAAATTAAATTTTTGGAAGAAGGCGACAAAACAAATCAAAATCCATATATTGAAAAAAAAAGATGTTTAAATAATTCCGTTATAAAAACTTTTGATAAGTTTGTATGTTTCTAGGCTACTGTGGCTTCCTTTTGTTAAAACTTAATTAATAAAATTGCATCGATAAAAAAAATGCTAACGAAAAATGTTTTAAATTATAATTTAAAATTATAATAAATCATCATAATAAACCATCCTTTTAGGATGGATTCAAATATTGGAAAATACTTTATTTTAGAAAAAAAAATATATCACATTGGGTTAAAATTCGTGAAATTAGCAAGATAAAAATGTAAAAAATATAACGTAAAATGTTAACTTTTTAAACAAAATCTAGTTATTTTTTAATCGATAAATCGATTTTGATGAAACTTTGGCATATCAAAGGTAAAGAAATTCAATATAGAAAATTGTTCTAAAATTTCCAAAATATTCATTTGTTTATAATAATTTTTTAAAAACAATTGATTTTTTTTTGTTTCTGGACCTATTATAAATCTGTGAAAAATGTATAAAGAATCTAAATCCGTTGAGAAAACCTTGGTAAATACCTTAGTAAATATGATTTAATACTGCCCATTGTGCACACATTATACTAAAAAAACTCTTTTTCATTTTTGCTTCAAAAATAAGTTTTAAATAATTTATTTTGATATTTAAACAAGTTTATAAATATTTGATTTTTATTGTTTAGTAAATTAATGTGTATTTAAATTAAAATATCTATCAACATTATTAGGGCGTTTCTCTGTAAACTGGGCAACTCATTGTCTCAAGCTAATATTGTTTAGAAAAATAACAGATCATAAATATTTCGTAGATAACTTCAAAAGATAATAACCTAATCTACCTATGCTCGATGTTCAAAATCCAATAAAATAAACTTTAATGTATCAAAATCGTTTTTATAGTCCTTAAAAACCAGTCCCCTGACGTGTCACCAAAGCAAAATGGTCACTTCAGACTAAATTAATTAAAGACAGTAACTATTGGAATCAACCTAATTGTTTAATTATTCAACCAATATTGTTTGCTTGTTACTGTGACTTATTTATTTTTTATAATTATTATTTTGTAATTCTAAAAAAGTCATCTAAACTTTGTCTCCGGATTTTATAAACAGTCCCCTGTATAGATTTTTCAGAAAATGCTCAATGTTTTCCAAAGTAATAGGAATATTTTTTGGTAGATCTGCCATATACTAATAAATAGACCGATATTTATTCCTCGAATAACATTTATTAAATACAACAAAAATATAACAAAAAAACTTGCCTAGACAATTTCTTACTTCAAGTTGCCCAGTTTACAGAGAAACGCCCATTATTTAATAGTGTCGATACATACTTACTTGAAGACGCAATAATTTAATATCTAACAATGAAATGGTTAAAAATTAAAAATTGTTTTTTTGTGATTTTAGAGAAAAATAAGAATGATCGCAACTTGTTGAACAAAAAATAATAAATCATTGGAAACTGGAGAACTAAAAATGTTTTTAAGTAAAAAATTTTTTTGTATTAATCATCCCTGAATTAAGTAAAATGCGCTTTTGGAAAAATTTCATTACCATTAAGAATAACGAGGTTTTTTTGAAAAGTCATCAAAAATTTCATTTGACAAAAATAAAATAAAAAAAATTTTGCTCAATTTATTTTTATAGTCAAATAGAACTTTTTTTACATTTCGACAAACACGTGTTGATTTCACAAATTCTGACCCAATACAAAATTTAATGTAATTAAAAACTCAAATATGCAAAATCAATCTCCATACTACTAAGGTTGATTAAATTTAGTATTTCAAATAATATTATAAACACTAAAGGAGAATCTGAACTAAACTTTATTTATTTAAACTTTTACAAGTATTAATCCCGGCACATTCACCATTATTGGAACTTTGTATTACATTTATTTGCTACACAGTCTGTGATTTGCTACGTTTATTATATTTATTTAAACTACTTTTTCATGTTATAAAATGTCAGCAACAATATTTGCAAAATAATGTTGTCATTATACTATGTAGTTTAAAATTTATTTGCCTAAAAATTATAAAAGAACATTATTCTGTAAATATTTAAAATTATATACAAACCGAGTTTAAATGTTGCAAACTAAAATTTGTTAAAAATCCTCCACATTTAAAATAAGAAAGGGTTAATTACAAATGCACTGCACATGATGTTACTTTTTAATTTTTTCAATAACTAAGAGTTATTTTTTTAAATTATTATAGTTTTACTCATTAAAATGAGCAAAAATGAGCCCCTTATACCGTCACCTGTAATTGGGAAGACAGTTTTGCGTCTCGTCCCCCGTAAACAAACCTTTATTAAAAACGAGATGGTGATGAAAATTGAAAAGATGAACATGCCGCCTAAACCATAAAGGTGCAACGTCCTGCGACCCATCCTGTCCATCAACGGTATCGATATCAACGTCATTATCACCATGATGCAACCGATTCCGATGGTCGCGAATTTCGCGCTCTCCTGGGTCAGACCCGAACTTTCGAACAGATTTGTAGAATAATAGAAAACCTAAAAAACAACACAATATTAGCATTGTTCATCAGTATCATTTTTTTCCCTCCCATAAAAAAATTCCTATAGATTTTGAAAATAGATCCAATAAAATGTTATTCACGGTATTCGGCCCATAATATAACATATTCACTGAATATAAATATTTATATATTTTAATTATATACAGGGTGTTGCAGATTTACGAAATACGGGTGTTTCACGTTTGTGTTCCATTAAAAGTTTTTGAGGAACGGGAAAAGATATTGATTTGAAATTTTTAAAGCGTTTATTATCCAATTAAGCCTACTTTTCTAAAATATTTTAAACAAAATACCACTTCCGGTTTGACCGGAAGTGACAAAAACTTTGTTATTTTAAATATAACACCCCATATATTTTTAAATTTTTAAAATCTACATAAAAGTCTTGGTAAAATTACTGTTCGATGTCCTATACCTAAAGTGAATGTTTTCGAGATATTATTTTTTTTCGTTAAAATTTGCATTTATGCGCGTTAATCAAAAATAGCTTATTGGGTATTAGGTTTGAGGAAATGGAAGTGGAGTTTTTGGAATCTTCAAACCTTGGTTAAAAGAAATTTTTCAACAAATTACCCAAGAAAACCCAGGGCAAATTGGGCTTAATTGGAACGTTAATAACTATTTTATTTTAAATGAAACACCCTGTATGTTTTTACATAATCAGATAGAAAATTAAAAAAAATTCAATTGATGTAATTATTCCCTATAAATAAATTTAATAATTTTAGAGATATTTAATAATTTTTAATATTAGACCAAGAATAGTCAAGAAGAGCAGCGTCTAATGTAGAAGTAATAATTAAGAAATGCTTAAATTTAAATGGAGGACATTTTAAACATTTAGGAATGAATTAGTAATAAAAATTGTTAAATAAAAACCTTTGTTTATAAAATTTACTGACTGCTTTTTTTAATCAGTAATTTTCTTTACAAATTACTTAATTAGTCAACAAATGGTTAATTATAATTAATAATAATTATTAAATTAAATTTTGAATAATGACAGATTACATGGTAACCACAGATACCGTCAACTCACCCGTCACAGGTTTCTTTTTTCAAAATAATATTTAAAGTTTTAGAAATTTCTAAATATTTTTGAAATTATTAACTTTAGGGGTAGGAAATAGTTACATTCAAAATAAAAAAGTTATTAACAATGTTTCAAGTTAGCCCAATTTGTCCTGGGTTTTCTCGGGTAATTTGTTGAAAAATGTTAAATTGACATGGAATCTTTTAAACAACGTTTTAAGACTTTAAAAATTTTACACCCATATATGGGTCAATCAAAAATAGACTATAACTTGTTTACTATTATGTTAACGGATATATCCGTAAACATAATAGTAAACAAGTTATAGTCTATTTTTGATTGACGCTCATTTGTCAAATTTAAACGAAAAAAAAATCGACTATTCACTTTAGGCATGGAACATGGTATACTTAGTAATTTTACTTAGAATTTCTTGTAGAATTTAAAAATGTAAAAATATATGGGATTTTCTATTTGAAATAACAAAGTTGATGTCACTTCCGGTCAAACCGGACGTGGCATTTTGTTCTAAATATTTAAAAAACTAGACTTAAATGGATTATAAATGCTTTTAAATTTCAAATCGATGTCTTTTTCTGTTCCCCAGAAATTTCCAATGCACCACGAATGTGCAATGTATAATCTTCAAACTAAAAGATCAAAATTTGTTTCCAACATATGGGTGATTCTACAAAAGTTGGACAACCTGATGTCATCAGTCAATAGAGTAGGTATTTTAATATTTTTTGTAAATATTTTAGTATATTACAAAAGATCCAGGATTTTTTAACTTGTCCACCCAATTTTAATGTATTTTTTCAAAAGCACGTTTGTAGAAAAAACTAATAAATATTCAAAACATCTGTACCTTGGCGTGTCACAACTCCTGAATCAAATATTTTAGTGATTTTATTTTAAAATATATTCAATTTATCTTAAATTTTTCAATTTCACTACAAACTATAAAACATTAAATAATGTATTTTTCATATTTTATCATAGATACGAATAATAGCAATTTTTAAAAAATTGATAATCTTTGTACTAACTTTTACCCGTCAGTTCTGTGTCCAATGTTAAAATTCAAAATTCCTGCGAAATATAGAAGTTTAAACGTCAAGTCCTCGTTTTAACTCAAGTGTTGGTAAAAAATTACCTACAGAGCCCGCCCTTTGCACGACACTCATCTTGAAAACAATGCAAGCGGCGAAGTTGTGGTGAATTCACGTATAGTTCCAGTCAAAATTTCAGTACTGTGGTGAGTAGTTATTTTCTTACGTTTATATATTTCATTGTAATTTATTTAAGGCTATATGTGATTTGTTCATAGTAGCATCCACTAATAAAAAATATCAGTAAAATACTTAATTTCGAATTATAATCTCAAATTTGTATCCAATTCATCAGTACTGTGTCGTCAGTTCCATGTTCGATGTTTCGGTTATCTTTTTTTCGCAAACCTTAATTTAAATTCTGGTTGAGCAGAACTTGTTTATTTAATGTCATTATAAAGTCATATAAATTTGGTGTGGGTCCCATATCTAATAATTGAGATATCCAAAATCCACCAGATGTGTGGTATTATTTGATTTTAAGATTTAGATATTTAGTTGCAATTAATCTTATATTTTCCAATAAATTATGTATTTCATTAGTACCCTGGTATACTCGTCAGTTTCCTTGCATTCAAATTTAGAAAACACAGATATTTCATAAACTGTTTGAAAAAGTGACTGGCCCGGTCTGGAACAGTATATTTATTATATTATCTATGTTCTCATAACAAAATACTGTTTAATTTTCTCCGAAAACTATATAAACAAAATGAGGTCAAAAGTTGCCCAATTTTTGTAGAATCACCCATATAAAAACATATAATATTGTAAGGAAAAAAAATGATTTATAACAAAATAGAGAATTAAAAATCTGTATCTATACCTAGGTACCTATAGGTTAAAATAATAAGAATGGCTCTATAAAAATTTTAAATAACGTGATTTCTTGAAACGGTGAGACCTTTATTTTGAAAATCTGTTAAATTTTTCTTGAAAGGAAAATCGTGTTCAACTATGTTATCATATAATTGTCTTACAGCGTTGATTCCGGAAAGTTGCTGCGACAACTGCATGACGACGCCGATGATCAGCGGCGTCCTCAGCGTCGGCGAGCAGATCAACTCCATCATGCTGATCGAAGATTCCGCGGACTGCGCCCGCTCCTCCTGTCGCATCTCCTCGATGTCCTCCTCCACCTGGTTGCTCGCTCTCAGTCTTCTTAACGCCTTACGGGACTCCTCCTCCCACTAAAATGTACAAACGAACGTTAAATTTTAGACGCAATTCTCTACAGGGTGTTATGTAATTAATGTTATATATTTAAATACTGAATACCTTTGGACATAAGGAATAAAGGAAAAATATTTAAAAAACATTTTTCTAAAGATAAAGAAAAAATATGCATTAGAAGTTTTTATATTTTTTGTGATACGCCACTGGTTACACACTTGTTTATCTCTGCACACCTGTATTTTGTGAGTACATAGATACCAACCAACAAAGTAGCTATGCGTTGCCAGATGTATAAAATTGTTACTAAAAATTTTTCTTGCAAAAAATAAATAAAAACTCAATAAATACAAAAGTTTTATGCCCTTAAAGCTCTAATACCCTTCTGTATTTATTTACTGATCCAGCTATTAGCTTAAGCAATGATTAGAAAATTTAGTACCTTTGAAATTTGAAATCCATAACCACAAAATTAATTTTTTCATCAGTTTTTTTCTCTGTTTACTCAGATGAAATTGGGACCAGTTCACAGGTTAAACTTTAAACATTTAATTTGTGTAAATAAATCCAAAAGCACTTCCCTTAGTTAAGATATTTACAATTTGAAAACATAACCTAAAATTTAAAAGAAATGCACTAGATTCTGTCATAAAAGTTGTCAGATTTTGTTTGAATTTACCTTCAGTATAAAAATGAAATAACCAACAATTAATAAAAACGCCAAATTGACAATTTGCTTTGTTAATTTTGTCATTTTTGTAATTAAGCTAAATTTAAACAATGCTTGGCAACTTTTTTGAAAGCTTTTGGAAACAGTTGTTACCAACCATAACATAATAAATCCACCAGATTAACCCAATGTTCCTAGTCGAACAGTGGCGTACTTTTTGGTAGGATAAAGGTTATTATAAATTATTTTTAGACTTTGGAATTTAGAAAAAAAAAGTTTCAGGTGCTTCTTTATGGACCCTAAGGAACAACCCATTTTAATATATAACATTAATTACATAACACCCTGTATAAACAGAGAAAAGATATTGGAAAAAATTTCTATAGAGGAAAATGCCACCAAAACAAAACACAAAGTGCTTAAAGTACTTTTCGCCAACGATGTAGGCATCTTCAGCAAAATGTAACTAAATTTAACTGCTAAATCTACCATATTTATACTAATTATAAGCTAAGGTTGACTGAACTGGGGATCTACGAAATAAACTGACAAGATTGTGACAATGTGTTGGACAAACTAAACGATTAATCCAAGTAAGGTTTAAAGAGCACTGGCCCATGCTAGATTTGGTAGGACAGAGAAATCGAGTGTTGTCCAACATATACAACCTTAAACTTAGGAAGTTAGGGAACTAAGTCTGCTAAATAGTAACGAAAGTTTGTACATTCATAAGAATAGAAATAAATCTTTAAATAGCGATAACGGACCGGTACCCCACTTTGGTTTTTATAAATTAGTTTGATAATTTTTCTTTACGTGTTTACTGAAGCGGTTACGGTCCAGGGTTTAGTAAACCCTAGCTTATAATTAGTATAAATATGGTAGATTTAGCAGTTATAATAATATTAATGATAATAAAAATAAGCTTTATTTCAAAAAAGTAAATAAAGTTTTTACAATTTTTACAAATGGTCATTGACCGAGGTCCCTCAGCCGGTGAACATATCTTGAACGTATGTTAAAAAACAATTATAAAGTTGAAATTAATTAATTAATATGTTTTCTCTTATTTGTTGAAGATGTTCCCATATAGTCTTTTCTGGGTGCTTGGATTTTCTGTTGCCCGTTACTTTTAAACACAATTCGCTAAAAATGGTGAATCTTTCTATAATTAGTAGCATACAAAAGGTCGTTGAGAGGGTTATGCAGAGAGTTTTTTTGATGTCTCATTTTGGAGATTTTTTGGACTGATGAGGTTTTCCCAGTTTTTAATATTGCTTAGTGCATTATTGAGTAAGATACATCCAGGATTGGTCTGTATATTAAGGTTTATATTTTTTGTTCGTTTTATCATTGATGCATTTTTGTTGTATGTAAGTTCTTTAAAGTGGCTGGCCCTTGTTATTGTTTGCTTCTTTGACAGGAAAGAGTGAAGATTAAAGTTGATTTTATTGTCTAGTGTGATTCCAAAGTATTTTACATTCGATTTTGACTCTATTATGTTATTGTACATCTTAATTGCTATATTAGGGTCAATCTTGTTTTGGTGGAAGTGTATACGCTAAAGAAGTATCGGGTTTTCGCAATGCGCGCGCGACCTGGTAGACTTCAAAAGCATTGCGTGAATATAAGAATTGTCAACAATACATTTAAAGCATACGAACTGTACATCATTTTTAAATAAATAGGTAGTTTTGTCACAAAAAAGAGAAAGGCAGAAGTCTTACTCGACAAATTTTGCTCAATTGTACAGCTAAATCGAGCACGTTATTTGTGTTTTACGTTACAATGAAAAAACTAAAAAACTGGTTTAGTACTCGATTTCAATTGATTATTCCTTATATCATTGATTAAGAAACTCAACGCTTAAATGCTTGTATAGTTACGTTAGTGTGTGTATTTTATCTAAGGGATCATGGTGAATTATTGTGTTTTTAATTGTAAATAAAATTCAAGAACTAAATCGTTGCATTTTTATGTTTTGCCAAAGGATCCAATTCGGTATACCGAATTGGATATCCAAATGTACTTATATATAAGTACATTTGTTGTTGCAGAATTAACTAATGATAACTTTTTTCTAATATAATTTATATTGTAGCGAGTACCGCCCTGGATATCGAAGTGATGACTCATCGCCGATTAGTCATTGCCGGTGAGTCATCGCCGGTGACTCAGCGCTCGAATAATCGAGAGTGTGGAGCTCGCTGGAATGTTCCAGAATACTTGGGCGCTGAATATATAAGAAACGGAGCAACACAGAGCAGTTAGTTGAGCTTTGGTACGCGCGAAGAAATAAATAAATATAAGTGCAAATAAATAAACTAGTAGTGATATAAATAATTAGTAGTTAAGTGTTTAGTTAGTTTTATAGTGTTTTAAGTGTAGTTAAGTTATTAAATAAATAGTTTAGTTCGTTAATTAACCAGTGCGTGTTTTAATTCACACTACGAACAGTTAAAAACGTTACAATATTTAAGTTTGGACATTTTTAAGAAGTTAGTAAAAAATAATTTTTGCACAAACATAACATTAAAATCAACCATTTTTATATTTGAGTTCTCTAAAAAACGCCGACAACTGCATTTTAAACAACAAAATATACCTACGAATTCATGGAAACATAATATTATATATAATACATAATATAATGGTATTTGACAGTTGAGTGAAGACTTTAAAGAATTCTTAAAAAACGCTTTTAATAATGCTAAATGCTGTTTAAATTTATACGACTTATTTGTTTGACGATTTTTACTGAATTGAAATGTTTACACTTTTCACGTTGATCATTACTACTTAAATGTGTATTTATTGTATCTAATAGAAACAATTTATATTTACAGAGACTGTATGAAATTTATTTCTTCATTCGGATTAACACTGTTTATTGGAAAACCGATAAAAACTTAACCCAGGATTTCCTCTCGAAATACACCCTACAACACAACAAATCGTGCAAGGTTTTTTTTTCGATATTTTTTAACTTTTTCCGACTTTATTCTCAAAAACACTCGTTTGTAACACACGCTTTTGACAGCTGATTATCAAAAGTTGTACTTTTGTTACGATGATAACGGCTACTAGCGATACTTCTTTAGCGTATTGGTCGAGACTTTAGTGGATTTGGTTTTAGTCTCCATTTGTTAAAGCATGCTATGGGGCAGTTCTTGTTGATGTCCAGGAACAGTGCCCTGGTTTATCATCCCATCAAACGTGAAGTTTGTATATTATTAATAAGTGTTGTCAAAGGATGGATGGATATGGCATTTTTAATAGGGTTGACAGGAGAGTTATAGGTGTGTGGTAATTTACTTGGGTAGCAGTTATATTTAGTTACAATTTGCTTCTGAAGATCGCCCTCGGTGGAGTAGTAGTAAGCACTGCGGACTATAAGCGGAGAGGTCGTGGGTTCGAATCCCACCAGGGGTATGGATGTTTATTTGTGTTTGTTACTGTGTACTTTTAATTGGGCCTGGTGCCTGTTGAAAGCACATTAAAATAAAAAAATAAAATCATCGTTGGCGAAAAGTACTTTACGCACTTTGTGTATTGTTTTGATGTTGAGGAATATTTCTAATATTTGTCTAGCAAAATGACGATAGAAATTTTGAATTGAATCCGATCTCTTACCTGTTTGGTGATGAGGAGGTATCGGGGACTTTCGGGACAGATGGGCAGCATGACGAGCTGCAGTAAGGCGGGCACGACGGCCAGGCCGAGCAACAGCGGCCAGCCGTCGTTCGTGCCGAGGATCTGCTCGATGCCGAGCACTTGGGACAAAAGAAGGCCGACGGTCACAGCCAGCTGGTTCACGGTGCCCAGACCTCCGCGGAGGTTCAACGGCGATATCTCCGATATATACATCGGCACCAGAGAGGTGTTTAACCCTTAAAAGGAAGACAATATTTATTACTAGGGATGGGATTTTAGTTATTTTACCTTTTTTCAACCGATGTAACTATTTAAAAACCAATAATGCCAAAATGTGTTTTAAACGATTTTCTTTTATATGAACCTAACTTTTTTACCTCTTTTGAAGGTTTTTGCTTTAAACTACCTTTTTTATACTTTTGTTACCTATTTTTTTAACTTGTTTTCACCTTTTTTACCTTTTTTGGAGGTTTTTGCTTTAAACAACCTTTTTATACTTTTGTTACATATTTTTTAATTTGTCAGTTTATTTTCACCTATTTGTCATCTATTATTACGTATTTTTACTTATTTTATTTTTTTGTGTTCTTTTTAAATTTTGCCCCAATATTTTATCCGGGGCGTGCAACTCAACGGTATAAAATTTTTTCTTATGGTCACAGACTGTAACAGTAACTTTCTTTACAGTTACCTTCTTTGTAGTGAGCTTATGTTCTGTCATAGAACTTCTGTGTAGTGAGTGTCACTCAGTGAAACACAGTTTATTGCATAGAAATAGTTTATTGTGGGTATGTTCTGTGTTTGGGTATGCGGCAAAACAAAATTATAAACGAAACGTGAACTTTTAATGTTTTTTTTTACCTAAAATGCTGTTTTTTTTTAACCTAAAATGCTTTTTTTAGTACCTTTTTAGTTACCTATTTTTCAGTTTTTAGTACCTAAATATCCCATCTTTATTTATTACACATCGGTCAATAAGTACCGGGACTAACTACTAAAAAAATGCTTCAGTTTACGATTTCTCGTTTCCTCGAGCATACTTTTGAGATTGGCGAATAGCCATAGTCGCTAAGGGCCAGGTCTGGAGAATACGGTGGGTGGGGAAGTAATTCAAAGCTCACTTATTGCAGTTATGCCATTGTAACTACCGAATTATAAAAAGGTGCATTGTCTTGATAAAAGTGACCTTTTTTTCTATTAAATTTTCATCGACAGGTAGTGTTACTTTATTTAACCACTGTAACTCAATGACTAATGAATATACTGTCAGGGAATTTTGACACGAATCTTTTAAAGTAGTTAGTTAGTACAACTGAGAGAGGTATTGCTTTTTATAAAATGGCGCCACTTATTAAACTTTGTGTTATAATTTTTTTTATTATTTAAGCCTTTAAAAATTATTTTTAAGATTAACGAGTCCAAAAAATTAATTAATAGGTATTGTAAAAAAAATTATTGGATTTCCTAATTAAAAAAACATTTTGGTTACTTTTCATAATATTACGCCATTTTAGTCGCGAATTTCATTTAGGCACGAGCGAGCTTGCGAGCGAGTGCTTAATTAAATGAGTGTCTAGAAAAGTTTATAAACATGTTGCATACTATACTTTTTCTACGAAAAATACTTAATATTAGCTAAACAATGATTTAAATTAAATATTTTTATACCGGGTGTATCTGAGAATAGGCGCACCCCTGTAACTTTTTTATTTATAAAGATGGACACATGAAATTTTGCATGGTTAATAAGGATATTAAATGCAACTTATAAGAGTACAAAATGAATTTTTTGAACTTCCGGTTTCACCGGATATGATACCAACTTTCGATTTTTAAATGGAATGCCCTATATATTTTTACATATTTGGAATCCTGAGAAAATTCTGAGTCAGGCAGCATCCTCAAATGGACCTTTTGACGTTTCGTCATCAGAAAATGTATCATCATAATGATCAATTTAGAGTGCTTTGAACTATCTTATTTTCTTCTAATGGATCCACAGAATGCCTGAAAAATAGAACTTGCCTTAGAAAGTTTTTGTTCAGCTATTCCCAGCAGTTCAAACTTGTTTAAATTCGTTTTTCTCAAATAGTTCAAAGCACTCTAGATTGATCTTTATGATGATGCATTTTCTGATGACGACCCGTCGAAAGGTATTTCAGGATGCAGTTAGACTCAGAATTTACTCAGGATTCTAAATATGTAAAAATATATAGTGCGTTCCATTTAAAATCAAAAGTTGATATTATTTCCGGCAAAACCGGGAGTTCAAAAAATTCATTTTGTACTCTTATAAGTGGCATTTTATATCCTAATTAAGCAAGCTAAATTTCATGTGTCTATCTTTATAAATAAAAAAGTTACAGGGGTGCGCCTATTCTCAGATACACCCGGTATAGCGACATCTATACTAAAATAAAGTAACCATCCCAATAAACATTTTTGAGGTAATTTTCACCATTAACATAATTATTATTAATACTTAAATAACTTAACAATAATTATTATTAATACTATAAAATATTAAAATAACTTCAAAATATGATTATGTTAGGAAAATATTATCACAAAGTATTAAAAACTCTTACAATAGAAATGTTAGAGGTACAAAAAGTGACAGTTAACGCTCTACCAGTTAAATCTAGTTAACTGCACTACTATGGCGAAATCAAAATGTCAGTACAAACATTTATATTTATAATTATAATAATTATTATAATCTTTTCAAATATTTTCGCCAAAAAACTATATAATACATTAAATGTATTTTTGTATTGAGATAATAAAATAATTTTCACATTTAGTAATACTTTACAAGAAAGGCACTTTATTTTAACGATTGTATGACATTTCACAACTGTCAACTAAGTTAAAACTTCAGTCCGTGGCTAAAAACCTGTTGCTAACTTTAGCATTGAAAAATGTAGATATTTTATAAAATCTGATTTTTTTACTATTTATATTATATTAAATTTCTTATAAAAAGGACGACCTCATAATAAAGGTATCATATGTACATGTAGTTCTATTTATAAGGTTATGTGATTTAAAGAGCGAAGTGTCGTGATATTTTTATAGTGTATTAGATTTTATGCACCTTTGGTTTAACCTTAAAAGCATAAAATACATATTTGCGGCGAATTTGTGGTTACAGTGTCCTATAAAGTTCAAGGTAGATATAAGTATGATGAAAATATTAAGAAAATATTATTTTAATGTTAGATGTGTAAATAGTAGAACTTAACATATAAAGGTTTTTAGGTAGTGGTTAAAAATAGGGTTTTTAATAACCTTTTAGTAACCTTTTACCACGCCACCGTACTTTTGTATTAATCGGGAACAGCGACAGCGGTGAGCGCAAGGTAATCAGCTCCATCTACCGTGTAACGCACGTGGCAACACGTTATAGTAAGGCTCAAAAGACGTGTTTAGCCATTTTCCGTGACTAAGCGGGTAATCCATGGACTTTGGTAAGGTAAAAGGTTTTAAAGCTGAAAACCTATTTTTAAACACTGCAGTGTTTAAAAATAGGTTTTCAGCTTTAAAACCTTTTACCTTACCAAAGTGCTTTTGATTGGTGGTGTATCGGAACAAAAGCACGTTGGCGAGATAAGGGGCCAGTTATTGGAGGTTTTCAGATACTTACCACAATTAACCCCAATAATAAACCTGCCAAGGAACAGTATTTCGTAGGAGTTCGATAGTTTTGTGCACCACATGAGACAACCACCGGTAATTCCCAAAACGTTGTTTAGAAGTAAACCGCCTTTCCTGAAAAAAAAAAATAAAAAGAAGTTTTTTTATTATTTGTTTTTTTAAATGTTAGGACAAACATAAACAAGTAGGTATCAAAAAATATAAATATAGTACCAAAATCATAAAAATTCCAAATATCCAAAAATATATGGAAACATTACAACATTATAATTACAGTCTGTTTTATTTTAATTGGCGACAATTTGGTATTTAAAAATAATTCGATTTAAAAAAATTGTTGGAGGTGCATTCCAAAACTCGGCTTATCCATATTAGTTGTTTTCAAGCAAAATGTAAAAAACCTTATACGTGAGAACTATACTACGAAATATATAGGCATAAGTAAAACATTTATATACCTACCTTGATTAAAAAGGTATGGCTCCAATTTAAAATAATTTATATATTTAAAATTACGTATAAGCTGAGGTCGGCAAGATATAACAATAGATAATAATATTCTAAAACTCACCTTATTTCATTTAAAATTTATTTACAAATTGACTATCGTTCCAAAACTTGCCTTAAGTTTTGAAACAAGTAAATTTGTAAATGAATTTTAAATGGAATAAGGTGAGTTTTAGAATATTAGGAACTTTTCCGGGTAAGGGATACATGTTAAATGTACAGATACCACTAACTCATTTTTATTAAAAAGTGGATAATTCGAGTTTTGGAATGGACCTTATAAACTCGTATTTTTTTAAATTTATTAATTACTATTATAATTTAACATTTTGGAGCATTCCACGATTAATTAACATTATTATTTTAAAATAAATTTAATAACGGTAGTTTTTACTCACATTTTTATTGTGACGGTCGGGACAAAATTCCCGAGTATCGTGGAATGCACATTTTCTAACTTTTTACCACATTTAATGATTTTGTATAATTTTCTATGATTAAATAACTTAACTTTGTAATAAATTATTATTTTATAGGAGTACTAGTTATTGTAATAATTTTAATATCATGTTTTGTCGTACCGCGGTACGACAAAACATGATATTAAAATTATTAAAATTTCTAGTACTCCTATAAAATAATAATTTATACCGCTCAAATGATCTGTTTTTTGCAAAAGGCTTAGTCCAATTTAACAAACTACCTCTAAATGTAAAGGAATGTGACGGCCTCAAAATGTTAAAAAAAAACTTTGTTAAAACACATCAACGAATTAAGTAATTAATAGAGATTAAATGTATAAATATAATTTAAAAAAATTGTTATTTACCTAATGTTTGTTTTGTTTTTATATGCATTTGTATTTATTTATGTTGTATAGCTTCTGCTAAATAAACGTTATTTATTATTGAGTATCAAATTTTAATATAATATTTTGATATTCAAAAGTACGTAACTTTAGCATTTTTGTTTTTTTTCACAATATTTTACTAGGGATTGCAATTGCTGTATTTCTCATCCAGCAATCCAGCTGGAAAATAATGGCGCAAAAGTCCACGTTGACAGCGTTGCCGCTTTGCTAAGTTTATTCTTGGGACCGATGTGGTTGTAAGAATTGTGAGTAATTTAACTGAATTTTAATTTTAATTTTTTTAATTTATTTTATAATTATTATTGTAATATTTAATTACATTACAGTAGTTACATTGTGGACAAAAAAAATACAAAACATGTAATAATAATTATTATAAAAACAATAAAGATAATTATCTTATATTCTTCATATTAATTTTTTTCAAGCTTTTGAAGTAGAAATCAGTTGTATGTTCTAAATATATTTAATTGTCCAGTGGATCTGATTCATATAATGGGGTTTAAAAGAGGATAAATGTACTAAAATGTGTTAAAATTAATATATTTTAAATTAAAAAGAGTAGTAATGAAAAATTTTAGTAGAATTAAAATTTTATTTATTGTTGTTTTCTATAAATTGGTACCGTAAACACGGGTGGCTTTAGCTCACTTTCAAACTTAATCTTAACATTTTTGTAAACATTAAATATTGTATACCAAAATTTGAGTCTTGAGTTGCTCTTTGATAATAACCATGTTATAATCTTACATAAGGCTGAGTTTCAAAAATAAAAATTAAAAACTGGGTGTGCAAAGTTACCCCCTGGTTGCGGGTTAAAATAAAAATAACAATAAAATAATAAAAGTATTAAAAAAAATCATTTAATTTTTTTTAAATTTTAAAATGCTGGATCCAGCTGGATTTATGTAGATCCAGCAAAACTCCAGCTGAATTAAAAACTCTGCTGGATTGCAAACCCTAATTTTAACATATATATTTAAAAAACACGCGGCTTCTTACCTGCCGAACTTGTTGGCTACCATGCCGCCGCCGAAGCCGCCCAACATGCCGCCGATGGCGAAGATGGAGACGGCGATCGAGTAGAGTCGCTCGACCGCCTCGTCGGGCAGATCTTCGCCGTACCGCGACTTGTACACGTCCTTCATGAAGTACTCGATGTTGGCTTGGGGCGCGTTTATCACGCCCGTGTTGTATCCGAATTGAAGCATGCCCAGGACCGCCGCGAAGATCGCGTACGACAGGAAGAACGTCAAACCCTGGAATCACAAAATAATATCTTAAATTGGGTATTTATATTACACGGAGAGAAATGTATAGTAAATTTTAGATGGTAAAAAAAAATATAGTAAAATTTACTTTAACAATTTTTTAGGGTAACAATATTGTAAGATTGTAATACAAAATACTATTTTTTATTATAAAATTTTAGTAAAGATTACAACACCAATAATACTAAATCATAAATGTATAATATATATTTTAATCTTTAATATGTTCGTATAGTAAATTGATTTTACTACCTACAAATAGTAATATTTACTATATGATTTAATCAAATGTAAGGTGTACATTAGGGTGGGCCGAAAATCCGCTTTTTTAGAATTTCGTTTAGTAATAGCAAAAATTTTGTTCATTATGTTGTAAAAAAAATTTGTGTCAAAGATTAAAATTTTCGATCAACATCCTAGGCTCGCCCAACGCAATTAAAGATCAAAATGTTCAAAAAAATTTTGATACTAAAATCGGGTTTATTTCTAAAACTATCCATCTGAAGTAATTTAGTGTAAGGACCTTTTTTGTAGAGCATAAAATTTCCGATCGAATTAAGTTAGGAAAATTTTTTTTTGAACATTTTGATCTTTAATTGCGCTGGGCGAGCCTAGGATGAGGATCGAAAATTTTAATCTTTTACACAATTTTTTTTTACAACATAATGAACAAATTTCTGAAACTATCCATCTGAAATAATTTTGTGTAGAGCATAAAATTTCCGATCGAAATAAATTAAGAAAAATTTTTTTTGAACATTTTGATCTTTAATTGCGTTGGGCGAGCCTAGGATGTTGATCGAAAATTTTAATCTTTTACACAAAATTTTTTTACAACATAATGAACAAAATTTTTGCTATTACTAAACGAAATTCTAAAAAAGCGGATTTTCGGCCCACCCTAGTGTACATCTAATATTATAATATATTACACATTAAAAAAAAATATAGTAAAACTAAAGATACTTTTATGTTTAAGGTAAATAAACAATATATTTAAATATAATATACAATATAGTAACTCATGACATTTTAAACATTCAATTTTCTTAGTTTCTTCAATAAACTTTCTTGGCCAATTACTGGTAATACTTATAAGAAAGAATTGATCCTACTTGGTTGCATAGTATATACCGATTGCGGCAAAGGCCACGTCGCGATGCCTCGTTAGACTGTGTGGATCACGTGATGTTCTTACATCTCGCCTCTGTTGGCTTACCAACCATGATATGTTATGTTGCAAATATCATTGTGTGGTATCTCTAGTTTGTAAAGCATTTATAATGTTTATGCAGGAACAGGATGATTTATATATATCTAATACTTTTTATGTTAAAAGTATTTTCCGAATTTATTAATTTTGTTGCCATTAGTTTTTTATATGCTCTATCATGCACTGTATTTAAATCACTGTTATTCTGCAAGATGTCCTGTGACGAAGAAATCACTAAATTACTTACTTACTCTCTAAAAACGAATTAGTCAAAAATGTCATAGCGAAAAAGCAGCCACTAATAATTCTCGTCAACAGCAATTTGTTTCTAGGACATTTAGCAGTCAATTCCTATGAAATATTATTCGGTGAATCCAAAAATGTCGTTAAAATTTTTAAAAGTAGAACAGAACGTAGAACGGTCTCTTCGTATTCAGGGACAATTTTACATAAAAATTGGCTGGTAAATGACCGGGATACAAATAGAGTATGATATTGGAAATTTACATTTTTTACCAATCAGTAATTGCACTGGCCATTTTACTGTTTGTTTTCAGAATTAAAATTAAAACGCATTAAAGTGACAATGTTTAAACCATGAGGAACACATATATACCATACACTGATCTTTACACTTTTTAGAAATATTTTTTATTGTAATTTAAACACAGCCCTGCTCTTAACGAAAAACAAAAATCTTACCACCAAAGTAACGTGCGAACTTTTTTGTTCTATATTGGACCCAAAATAAAGTAGTTCTATATTATTACCGACTGAGATATAATTATAATTGTATACAGCGTCATCTAATGATTTGACTTTAAGGTAACTATTTATTAGGGTGGAGCGAAAAAAAAATTTTTTTTTCCTTAGCCTGGGGGTGGAATTTGTAGCCTATAAAAAAAGAAAATTTTTGAAAAAAAAAAAATTTTTACTCAACGTCTTGAGGTGGCCCACTGATTTTTTAAATTAAATTTAAGTTAAAATTCTTTTGAATAAAAAAATTTTTTCAAAAGTGTTCCGGAAACGGCGGAGTGTCCTCTTTCTTGCTAATTAACAGTTATGAAGTTAAAAAAAATTTTGTGGTCATTATTGTTGTTTTTAAAAAAATTCCAAAATAGTAACATGCTTTTCTGAGGCAATAGAGCGAATTTCGAGTTGAACACGATCAAATTTGTTTATTTTTAGATAAATTTGAAGATTACAAGCCAATTTTTTTTTTTTTTATTCAAAAGAATTTTAACTTAAATTTAATTTAAAAAATCAGTGGGCCACCTCAAGACGTTGAGTAAAATTTTTTTTTTTCAAAAATTTTCTTTTTTTATAGGCTACAAATTCCACCCCCAGGCTAAGGAAAAAAAAAATTTCGCTCCACACTACTATTTATAGAACTCTTGATTTTACAGTATTAATGTTAATTGTCCAATAACTATGAAGTGTCCGATAACTGTCTACTTTACCCTAGATATCTAATAGCTAAACTTGATTTAAACTTCTACTATATATAAATAAATAAGTATTACTCCCGGCGCATTCACCATTATTGCAACTTTGTGTTTAATTTATTTGCTAAGTTTATTATATATTATATATATTTATTTAAACTACTTTTTGTTATACAATGTCAGCAACAATATTTACAAAATAATGCCGTCATTAAATTGTGGTTAACAATTTATTTAAAATTTAATTTTCTAAAATTATAAACGAACATTACTATGTACATATTTAAAATTATTTACAAACCGAGTTTTAATATTGCAAACTAAAATTTGTTAGTAAAAAATCCTCCACATTTAAAATAAGCAAGGTTTAATTATTTATATACACTGCACATGATTTTACTTTATTAAAATGTGTATATAAAAAATCACTAAATGTCATGAAAAGGGGTAGAATAACACTGTGCGACAAATTTTGACCTTACAATTTGAACTGGGATGAAATGTGGAAAAATCGAATCTATGCAACCCCCAAAACTAATCTTTAAAGGGGTTTTGCTAGTTTAGCTCGAATAATGGAGATATACAGGGTGTTTCTTTTAACTTGAGACAGCTCAATATCTCGAGAAATACGCATTTCACGGAAAAATGTCTTAAATAAAAGGTTAATGTGACCAAAGGGGACATTATTTGGTGCTACCGCTAGCCACCCCCTACCTCTCCTTAAGGGTGAAACGGGGGGTAACTTTGGAAAGTCAAATGGAATGACCCGATTTTTTTCACAGAGTTTGGTAGTACGTAAAAAAATGAATAACTTTTATTTGAAAGTTTTTTTCAAATAAATGTATTATTTGAAACGTTTGAAAAACAAAAATTAACATTAAATCAACAATAGTCGGCTCTGAAAACAATTTATAACAAATGTTCGAAATGTCGTCCTTCCATTTCGACACCAAGTGGAGCACCAGCGTCCCTGCTCGGTAAACGTTTGGTGCGGTACCTTAAGCGAACGATTAATCGGACCCTTCTTTATTGACGGTGCATTAAATGGCGAAAAGTACCGGAATTTTCTAGAAAACGATCTGACGGACCTTTTGGAGGATGTACCACTAGCACGGCTCCAAAACATGTGCTACCAGCAAGATGGTTGTCCTGCACATTATTCGACAATTGCTCGATCAATGGCCGGTGCACCGCGGTGGATCGGTAGACGTGGTCCAGTAATTTGGCCTGCTCGATCACCTGATCTTACGCCACCAGACTTCTTCCAGTGGGGTTACTTGAAAGAGTTTTAAATAAAAGTTATTTATTTTTTTATGTACTACCAAACTCTGTGAAAAAAATCGGGTCATTCCATTTGACTTTCCAAAGTCACCCCCCGTTTCACCCTTAAGGAGGAGTAGGGGGTGGCTAGCGGTAGCACCAAATAATGCCCCCTTTAGTCACATTAACCTTTTATTTAAGACATTTTTCCGTGAAATGCGTATTTCTCGAGATATTGAGCTGTCTCAAGTTAAAAGAAACACCCTGTATATCTCCATTATTCGAGCTAAACTGGTAAAACCCCTTAAAGGATTTTTTTTGGGGGTTGCCTAGATTTGATTTTTTCAGATTTGATCCCAGTTCATTTTTTGTGTTGCACAGTGTAATGGGCATTTTGATTTTTTTTGAAATGGCGAATGCTCTGGGATTAATGTTATTAACAGTTAATAATATAATATATTACTCAATATACTAATAATCCTGGCGCATTCGCCATTTTTAACGAGAATTTAATAAATTGAATTTTATAGGTACCTTTTAAAACAGATGTTTAAATCTAAAAACATATGCAAAATTATAAAGGAAAATGTTAAATACTTTCAAACTTTGTAAATAAAAAAACACGGCTTTAAAAAGCTCAATAACTATTTATTTTGCAGCAGCTGCAGCTGCATGTACTTAGTGGAGTGGAGTAAAGCCTAATGATCCGATTCTAAATCTTAAAAATAATTTGCACGGCAATGGCTTAGCTGGGGGATTTTTTCCGACGTTGCAACAAAATTTAAATGCACGGAATTTCTGTCTGCCGGATAAAAGTGCCACTAATTATGGGAATTTTGCATAATCCATCCAGATCCAGTGCCACCGTGCTCTAAGAAGTGAATATTAAGTGGACAATATTAAAAAATTTGTATTGGTGTAATAATTATCCACTAAAATTTTTTGTTAATGACATTAATTAAAATTTACCAACATTGATTTCAAATCACCTTAAAGTTGCTCTATATTATCTGATCGGTAAGTAAATTAGGTATAATTTGTCCAGAAAGTCAACATTTTCTGTAAATATT